TCACTACAGTGATAAGTACCCTCTTCCTTTTTATGAGCCAAATGGTAAAAGGTGATTGTTCGCAACTCTCTCTCTTTGATAGGGATCATCTTATGTTTTTGTAAGTCTGGAATTTTAATCTTTGTCTTTGCTGAGAATAACCACCTTGTAAGACAGTATATATGTCCACGCCATGTTGATTAAAACACCTTTGTTCCATCAGAGCTTTGGTCCCCATGTCTTTTTTTCTTTCTTCTCTCTCTCTCTCTATTTCTGGCTAATTCCTTGGAGCGCGGAGGCCTGCTGAGCTCACTTTCTTGCCCGGGCTTCTAAGACCCTCTTGAGAAGGCGCACTGCACCTTAACCCACTCGAGAAGGCGCTGGTGCCTACGTGCAGCAGCGGGAGCCCTAAGAACAGGACTCTATTGGCTTTCCGCATAAACCAGGGGATATCAGCCTCTTTCTCTCTCTTACTTTCTTATCGTCGACTCTGGACCATCAGGTTCCAGTCCATTAAAGGACCAACACTTGTCTAGTTCTGTTGCTTCTTGACCTGCATACAGGTTTTGCAGGAGGCGGGTAAGGTGGTCTGGTATTCCCATCTCTTAAAGAATTTTCCACAGTTTGTTATGATCTACACAGTCAAAGGCTTTAGCATAGTCAATGAAGCAGAAGTAGATGTTTTTCTGGAATTCTCTAGCTTTATCTATGTTCCAACGCATGTTGGCAATTTGATCTCTGGTAGAAAGTGAAGAGGAATTAAAGAGCCTCTTGATGAAGGTTAAAGAGGAGAGTGAAAAAGCTGGCTTAAAACTCAACATTCAAAAAAAAAATGAAAATCATGGCATCCAGTCCCATCACTTCATGGCAAATAGACAGGGAAGCAGTGGAAACAGTGACAGATTTTATTTTCTTAGGCTCCAAAATTCCTATGGATGGTGACTGCAGTCATGAAATTAAAAGACGCTTTATCCTTGGAAGAAAAGCAATGACAAACCTAGATAGCATATTAAAAAGCAGAGACATTACTTTGCCTACAAAGATCCGTATAGTCAAAGCTAAGATTTTTCCAGTAGTTATGTATGGATGTGAAAGCTGGACAATAAAAAAGTCTGAGCATTGAAGAACTGATGCCTTCGAACTGTGGTGTTGTTGAAGAGTCTTGAGAGTCCCTTGGTTAGCAAGGAGATCAAACCAGTCAATCCTAAAGGATATCAACCCTGAATATTCATTAGAAGGACTGATGCTCAAGCTGAAATTCCAATACTTTGGCCACCTGATGCGAAGAGCCAACTCATTAGAAAAGACTCTGATGCTGGGAAAGATCGAAGGCAGGAAGAGAAGGGGAGGACAGAAGATTAGACGGTTGGATGGCATCACCAACTCTATGGACATGTTTTAGCAAGCTGCAGTTGATGGTGAAGGACAGGGAAGCCTGGCATGCTGCAGTCCATAGGGTTGCAAAGAGTCGGACATGACTGAGTGACTGAACAACAATAGCCATCCCCTTCGTCAGGGGATCTTCCCAACCCAGGAGTGGAACCCAGTCTCCTGCATTGCATGCAGACTGTTTACCATTTCAGCTACCAGGGAAGCCCCTGAAATTCAACATTAAACTTACCTTTGAGTCACTACATTAAAAAAACAAAACAAAAAACAGGATCATGGCATCCAGTCTCATGTCTTCAAGGTAAATAGAAGAGGAAAATGTAGAAACAGTGACAGATTTTGTTTTCTTGGGCTCCAAAATCACTGTGGTTGCTGACTGCAGCCATGAAATGAAAAGATACTTGCTCATTAGAAGGAAAGCTATGACAAACTAAGAGCATATTAAAAAGCAGAGACATTTCATGGCCAACAAAGGTCCATATGGTCAAAGCTATGGTTTTCCCAGTATTCAAGTACGAATGTGAGAGTTTGACCATAGGGAAGGCTGAGCACTGAAGAATTGATGCTTTTGAACTGTGGTGCTGGAGAAGACTCTTGAGAGTCCCTTGGACTGCAAGGAGATCAAACCAGTCAATCCTAAAGGAAATCAACCCTGAATATTCATTGGAAATACTGTTGTTGAAGCTGAACTTCCAATACTTTGGCCACCTGAGAAGAGCTGATTCTTTGGAAAAGACCCTGATGCTGGGAAAGATTGGAGGCAGGAGAAGAAGGGGACAAGAGAGGATAAAATAGATAGCATCAATAACTCAATGGACACAAATCTGAGCAACCTTTGGGAGATAGTGGAGGACAGAGGAGCCTGTCATGCTACAGTCCATGAAGTCACAAAGAGTTGGATACAGGTTAGAGACTAAACAACAAAAAGACTCAGGAAGTGAATAATACCACAGCTAAAATTTGCCCAGGAAGGTAGTTGAGACACTGCCTAGTATTTACTAACCTGTCCATTTCTCTCTTGTTATTTTAGTTAATAAGAAAATCAGAGGCTTGGCTTATTGGTTATCCTCTAAAATATGGAATTTCAAATTTTCAGAATAGTGCAGTCACTATATTTGCTGGAGAAGAGAAATCATTTGCCACTTTTATTTATCCAGTAATCATTCGTGGCCACCTGATACCAAGAGCTGACTCATTGGAAAAGACCCTGATACTGGGAAAGATTTAGGGCAGGAGGAGAAGGGGACGACAGAGGATGAGATGGTTGGATGGCATCATCGACTCAGTGGACATGGGTTTGGGTAAACTCTGGGAGTTGGTGATGAACAGGGAGGCAGAGTCAGACACGACTGAGCGACTGAACTGAGCTGAAACATTCGTGGGCACTTACAACGTATTATTGTTCTAAGTATTGAAGCTCAAGGAAACAAAAACAAACATGGTTCCTGGTCTATCTGAGCTTTGTCCATTAGGACTATATTCTATTAAAAATTTAAAAAGCATGTTAGCATCTTGGGTGGGTTTTGAAGTGTTCTGGGAGAAATTTCATAAGCTAATTAAATTTCAAACACACAAATAGAGATCCATCTTGTGCTGATCCATCTTATGAGTTTTTGTTTTGATTTCTTTTAAACCTGTTGGCTAAGAAGCCTGGACAATTGATGGTCATGATTTTAATAATTTCTACAAAGCCAGCTTCCTTTTCTGCATATTCTTTTTCTTTTTTTTTGAAATCAAGGGCCACTGAACTGAGCAATTGGACAGGTGGCCTCTCTGCTACTTCATGAGAAGCACAATGAAGAAAGAAGAAACCAATGCAGCAAATGCTACAGTTCTTATGCCAGCTAACTCATCCTAGGCAGCTAAACTTACCCCAGTGAGACAATTTGATAAATGTGAAAAGATTTTCTTCCTATAATGTAATGTGTCAAACTTTAGAAACTCCTAAACTCTTTTTTTTTTTTTTTTTTTTTGCCAGCTCTTTAATTCAAACTTTTGTTTCCCAGGCCAAACCCAAGAGGAGGAAAAATAACAAGTGGTAGAAAATATAGTGTAAATGGTAGCTAAAGTAGTCTTTGGCTCGGCACACCCACCAGACACTTTGTCTAAAGGCAAGATTCTTAGGGTAGCCATCACAGTCCTTGAGGTCTTCCAAAGCCAACCAAGCGGTCTGCTTTATCCAATTGCTGATGATTCTGAGCGCATAGTTCCTCCAGTGATTGACCAAAACTATAATGATCACTTTGATTAAAAGGAAATAAGAGAAAAAATATCAAATCCCTACCAAGTGTGTGTTGGCCAGATACTTGGCTTGAAACTTTGTGATGTTATTTAACTCATAAGAACCCAGTAAATCAAGCACTACACTATTATGTATGAGAAATATATATTTGGTCTTTGTCTACAGTCCCTGGCTCACAACTCTTTTTTTAAAAATTAATTTATTTATATTAATTGAAGGCTAATTACAATACTGGCTCACAGCTCTTAAGATCCTTGGCATTCCCTGTGATAAGAGCAATAATTGTGCCTTTTGTCATGCCACTGAAGTAACTTTTGGGAAAGCCCTTTGGTAACATAAGAATGGGAGCTGGAGGTTGGTTGCCAGGAGAACCCATCCTGAAAATAGAGGGTTGGAACTTTCAATCCCTTTCTCTCTCCTTCCAAGAGAAGTGGGGCTGGAAGTTGATTTCAATTTCCAGTAGCCAATAATTTAATCAATCTTGACTATGTAATGAAACCTCCGTGGAAACCTAAAAGGCTTTCCAGGTTGGCAAACATATGGAGGTGCTGGGAGAATGCTCCTGGAGAGGGCATGTGAGCTCCCCCCGGCCCCATGCCTTGCCAAGTATCTCTTCCATCTGGCTGTTTCTGAGTTATATTCTTTTATAATACACCAATGACCTGCTAAGTAAAATGCTTCTGTGAGTCACTTTAGTAAATGAATCAAACCCAAGGAAGCGGTTTTGGGAATCTCTGAAACCTGTAGCTCGTTGATCAGAAACACAGTCAACAATCTGGGCTTGCTGCTGGCATCTGAAGTTGTGGAGTAGGGGTCAGGGGACGGTCTTGTAGGACTGAGCCGTCAACCTTTGGATACGATGCCATGTCTAGGTAAATGGAATTGAGTTGTCAGATACCCAGATGGTGTTGGAGTATGGCTTGTGGGAGGTGTGGAGAAACTCCTCCTCTCAACATACACAAGTTGGGTTTGGTGATCAGAACACCCTCATGAGGTGCCATTCTTCCCACTTTGTGAACAAGGAAACTGAAGCTCCCAAAGGTTAAATGATTTACCCAAGGTTGTGGGGGGTGTCTGCTCAGTCGCTCAGTCACGTCTGACTCTTTGAGACCCCGTGGAGTATAGCCCAACAGGCTCCTCTGTCCATGGGATTTCCCAGGCAAGACTACTGGAACAAGTTGCCATTTCCTCCTCCAAAGGATCTTCCTTACCCAGGGATTGAAACCAGGGCTCCTGCATCTCCTGCATTGGCAGGCAGATTCTTTACCACTGAGCCACCCGGGAAGCCCTTACCCAAGGTCACCCCTAATATAAGTAGTCGAGTCCAGAATGAAAGCCAGAGCTGCTTTATTCAAAGTTCATGCTTTTCAATAAATGGCACTTCCTCTTGGTATGGCAGGGGGTGGGGTGGGGTGGGACTTGAGAGTGAGGAGGTGGTGTATGAACTTTCAATTGTCCAAAAAAAAAAAAAAGGCATGACAGACTGAGCTTAGGCGACTTAGATATTTCATATTTTGTTTGTGTCTATGGGGTACTGACCTCCTAATAATTACCCAGTGAACAATCTCTTCAGCATCTTCAGATATACACGTTCACTCCTAGGAAATGGGTGGCTCTGTAATAAAAAGGGAAAATAAAGAGGAAAAGCCTGTATCATTTTTTCTACCTGCTGAAAAGGGGACTGCCACCCTTAGGTTAAGCTCATAGAAACATTCAATGATAGATATTGTTGTTTTGTTCTTCTATATCACCTTGTAATTTCATCTTCAAATTATTATTCTATCAAATTGTTCTGTATTTTATGTATGATCTATTATACCATATTACAATTATTGATTAATGTTCCTGACCTTAGTTTTTCTGTGAAGTTTTTGGTGATGAAAAGCATGTTTTTGTGTTTGCATTTACTTTGTCTAATGTAGTATGTGGTCCAAGTAAGTTGTCGGTTTCATGTAGAACCAAATTTTCTTGGACAACAATTTATCTATCTAACTAACTATCTATCTATCATCAGTCTTGTAGTTGTTGTTCTTCAGTTGCTAAATAGCCTCCGACTCTTTGCGACCACATGGACTGCAGTGCACCAGGCTCCTCCATCCTTGACTGTTTCCCAGAGTTTGCTCAAATTTATGTCCATTGAATCAGTGATGCTGACCATCTCATCCTCTGCTGCCCCCTTTTCCTTTTGCCTTCATTTTTCCCAGCATCAGGGTCTTTTCAAGCTAGTCGACTCCTCAAATCAGTGGCCAAAGTATTGGAGCTTCAGCTTCAGCATCAGTCCTTCCAATGAATATTCAGGGATAATTTCCTTTAGGATTGACTAATTTGATCTCCTTGCTGTCCAAGGGACTCTAAGAGTCTTCTTCAGCACCACAGTTGGAAAGTATTAATTTGTTATCATCTATCTAGCTCCATAATATATATCTCTGAGGTTTCTGTTAATTTATATCCCACATATACAACCTCACAAACTGGCTATAATAAAATAAAAAAGCATGTTTACTTGGACTTGGGTCCCAAGTTCCTCATTTATTAAGTGAAAGTGAATGTGACAAGTTTTTCTCAGCTAAAAAGATATGTATTGTTAAATTTGCAGGGTAATTAAAAGGCTAAATGATAATGTAGATGAATATTAAAAATCACACTGCAGCTACCCTTCCCACTCAATAGTTCCAAGCTTAAGTGATTCAGAATCAGTTGGTGGAGCTTTTAAAATATGAACATACTTGACTTTAGTAAATCTCTGGTAAACTTTGGCTTCTGGGGGGTGTGTTCCAGCATGTATATGTATTTTTAAATCTTCCCAAGTTGTTCTGATATGCAGACCCAAGTAAGATCTTGGCTAATCCAAGGTGAATAGTAAGTAGAGGGTCTTGAATAAATGAAACTGATTTACAGCTGCTGAAGTAATAGGCTCAGAGAACACATGCTTGCTGCCCTTAAAGGAAGGCAAATTTGCATGTTTTTTGTGAACTTCTTAGTTAACAGTTGGATTTTTATGTAGAAGGATTCTTTCTAAAACATACTTGGTACTCTACTTAGAATATATAGCATATTATTAGAAAAGAGTGTTTATCTTAATTTTCTGGAGAGTACAGAGTGTGATCTGTTTTAGTTGGCCTATTTTATGATCCATTCCAAATTTAAAACCATTTCTAAATTTTATTCAAGGATTACTGGATGTGGATGTGTCTAAGAGTATCTTATAAGTATGTAAGATACAGTACTGATGTTGAGAAGGCTGATGCCACTTTGACACTCACTCTTTCATATTTAATCTGATTTTTAACTCCTCTCTGGAAAAGTTTATTTACTTTTTTTAAAAATATTTTTTGTGGAGTTCCAATCTTGCCTGTTCTATATGACTTTCTAATCATTTCAAGCATGTAAGTTTATTAACTCATATTTATTTTTATGATTTCAAATTCCAAGGTACTAATTATCATGTTTGGCAATAAGGAGTTCATGATCTGAGCCATAGTCAACTCCCAGTCTTGTTTTTGCTGACTGTATAAGGCTTCTCCATCTTTGGCTGCAAAGAATACAATCAATCTGATTTCAGCATTGACCATCTGGTGATGTCCACTCGTAGAGTCTTCTCTTGTGTTGTTGGAAGAGGGTGTTTGCTATGACCAATGCGTTCTCTTAGCAAAACTCTTAGCCTTTGCCCTGCTTCATTCCATACTCCAAGGCCAAATTTGCCTGTTACTCCAGGTGTTTCTTGACTTCCTACTTCTGCATTCCAGTCCCCTATAATGAAAAGGACATCTTTTTTGAGTGTTAGTTCTAAAAGGTCTTGTAGGTCTTCATAGAACCATTCGACTTCAGCTTCTTCAGCATTACTGGTCAGGGCATGGACTTGGATTACTGTGATATTGAATGGTTTGCCTTGTAAACAAACAGAGATCATTCTGTCGTTTTTGAGATTGCATCCAAGTACTGCATTTTGGACTCTTTTGTTGACCATGATGGCTACTCCATTTCTTCTAAGTGATTCTTGACTACAGTATTAGATATAATGGTAATCTGAGTTAAATTCACCCATTCCAGGCCATTTAAGTTAGCTGATCCCCAAATGTCGATGTTCACTCTTGCCATCTCCTGTTTGACCACTTCCAATTTGCCTTGATTCATGGACCTAACATTCCAGGTTCCTATGCAATATTTCTCTTTACAGCCTTGGACCTTGCCTCCACTACCAGTCACATCCATGACTGGGTGTTGTTTTTGCTTTGGCTCCGTCTCTTCATTCTTTCTGAAGTTATTTTTCCACTGATCTCCAGTAGCAAATTGGGCACCTACTGACCTGGGGAGTTCATCTTTCAGTGTCCTATCATTTTGCCTTTTCCTACTGTTTATGGGGCTCTCAAGGCAAGAAGACTCCTTATTGTCAAATTCTTAAATTTGACTTAAATTGAAGAAAGTAGGGAAAACCACTAGACCATTCAGGTATGACCTAAATCAAATCCCTTACAATTATACAGTGTAAGTGAGAAATAGATTTAAGGGACTAGATCTGATAGACAGAGTGCCTGATGAACTATGGATGGAGGTTCGTGACATTGTACAGGAGACAGGGATTAAGACCATTACCAAGAAAAAGAAATGCAGAAAAGAAAAATGGCTGTCTGAGGAGGGCTTACAAATAGCTATGAAACGAAAAGAAGCAAAAGGCAAAGGAGAAAAGGAAAGATATACCCGTTTGAATGAAGAGTTCCAAAGAATAGCAAGGAGAGAAAAGAAAACCTTCCTCCGTGATCAGTGCAAAGAAATAGGGGAAACCAACAGAATGGGAAAGACTAGAGATCTCTTCAAGAAAATTGGAGATACCTGGGGAACATTTCATGAAAAGATGGGCTCAAAAAAGAATAGAAATGGTATGGACCTAATAGAAGCAGAAGATATTAAGAAGAGGTGGCAAGAATATAGAAGAACTATACAAAAAAGATCTTCACAACCCAGATAAACATGACGGTGTGATCACTCACCTAGAGCCAGACATCCTGGAATGTGAAGTCAAGGGCCTTAGGAAGCATCACTATGGACAAAGCTAGTGGAGGTGATGGAATTCCAGTTTAGCTACTTCAATCCTGAAAGATGATGCTGTGAAAGTGCTGCATGAAATATGCCAGCAAACTTGGAAAACTCAGCAGTGGTCACAGGACTGGAAAATGTCAGTTTTCATTCTAATCTCAAAGAAAGGCAATGCCAAGAATGTTCAAACTACTGCACAATTGCACTCATCTCACACACTAGTAAAGTGATGCTCAAAATTCTCCAAGCCAGGTTTCAATAATACATGAACTGTGAACTTCCAGATATTCAAGAAAAGGCAGAGGCAAATTGCCAACATCCATTGGATCATCGAAAAAGCAAGAGGTTTCCAAAAAACATTTATTTCTGCTTTATTGACTATGCCAAAGCCTTTGACTGTGTGGATCACAGGAAACTGTGGAAAATTCTGAAAGAGATGGTAATACCAGACCACCTGACCTGCCTCTTGAGAAATTTCTATGCAAGTCAGGAAGCAACAGTTAGAACTGGATATGGAAAAAGAGAATGGTTCCAAATAGGGAAAAGAGTATGTCAAGGCTATATAATGTCACTTTGCTTATTTAACTTATATGCAGAGTACATCGTGAGAAATGCTGGGTTGGAAGAAGCACAAGCTGGAATCAAGATTGCCAGGAGAAATTTCAATAATCTCATATATGCAGATGACACCACCCTTATGGCAGAAAGTGAAGAAGAACTAAAGAGCCTCTTGATGAAAGTAAAAGAGGAGAGTGAAAAGGGTGGCTTAAAGCTCACCATTCAGAAAACTAAGATCATGGTATCTGGTTCCATCACTTCATGGCAAATATTTCGGGAAACAGTGGAAACAGTGACAGACTTTATTTTTGGGGAGCTCCAAAATCAATGCAGATTGTGACTACAGCCATGAAATGTGAAGATGCTTACTCCTTGGAAGGAAAGTTATGACCAACCTAGACAGCACATTAAAAAGCAGAGACATTACTTTGACAACAAAGGTCCACCTATTCAAGGCTATGATTTTTCCAGTAGTCATATACGGATGTGAGTTGGACTGTAAAGAAAGCTGAGCACCGAAGAATTGATACTTTTGAACTGTGGTTTTGGAGAAGACTCTTGAGTCCCTTGGACTGCAGGGAGATCCAACCAGTCCATCTTAAAGGAAATCAGTCCTGAATATTCATTGGAAGGATTGATGTCAAAGCTGAAACTCCAATCCTTTGGCCACCTGATGCAAAGAACTGACTCATTTGAAAATACCCTGATGCTGGGAAAGATTGAAGGCAGGAGGAGAAGGGGAGAACAGAGGATGAGAAGGTTGGATGTCATCAGTGACTCAATGGAGATGAGTTTGAGTAAACTCCAGGAGCTGGTGATGGACAGGGAGGCCTGGCATGCTGTGGTCCATGAGGTCACAAAGAGTTGGACATGACTGAGCAACTGAATTGAACTGAATTATCCTGTTTGGGGCTTCCCTGGTGACTCAGCAGTGAAGAATCCTCCTGCAGTGCAGGAGACGTGGGTTTGATCCCTAGGTTGGGAAGATCCCCTGGAGAAGGAAATGGCAACTCTATCCAGTATTCTTGCCTGGAGAATCCCATGAACAGAGGAACCTGGCAGATTACAGTCCATGGGGTTGCAAGAGTTGAACAAGACTTAACAACTAAACCACTACCACCTCCAATTATCCTGTTTATTGAATTTCTGCATTTTTTTTCTTTAGCATTTTAGAGACACTGTGTCTCAAAATTGCTTGTAGTTATTATTATCTACTATTTTTCAACAGAGGCTATTTTAGATGTGAGGGTTCTTTGAACCCTCCTTTGTGAATAGGGTCTTTGAAAACAAGGTCATCCTTTGTTTTTCAAATCTCTAAAGGCTTTCAGATTTATTAGATCAGTTTGTGTTTCTGGATGTGGTATTATCACATCTTACTTAGTGTAGTTAATGTATATTTAAAGCACTACCTATTTGCTGTGCAGAACTGATGCTCTGACTGACTTCGCATTGACACTGTTTTATCTGAAAGCCTGGACTCCTTTCCTCTTATAAGCATTAAACCCCACAACCCCATCCCTGAGGCGTGTGTCTTTGTTCAGTATTCCCCTGGGTTGCTGCAGTGTCATCACTTTTATGAAGTGATGACGTTTATGAAGGTCTTTTGTATCTTATTTAATTCCTGGCATCTTGGACTCTTTCATTTGAATTCAATTGTGTGTGTGTGTGTGTGTGTGTGTGTGTGTGTTTAACTACTGTGTCTGTTTACAGCCATTTCTATTTTTAGCACTTATATTTGTTATTAGTCATTTTCATCAAATGAGTGTGTCAAATTACTTGAGGTTGGATCTGTTCTTTGAGACCATGCTTGAATTTCCTAAATTCCACAGAAGTCCCTGTGCCACTTTAGAAACTAGAATTTCTCTGAAATGCCCCATACTCAAATATTCCATGCAACCATACATCTGATTACATATTGTTCCCAAGAGTAATTGCATATAATCACTTTTTTTTCCCCCTGCCACAAACATTATAGGCTGCTTTTTAAAAAAGGCATATGCCCTAATTTAAATTCAGGCTTCCTAGGTGGCTCAGTGGTAAAGAATCCACCTCCCAAGCAGGAGATGTGTATTTGATCGCTGGGTCAAGAAAATCCCCTGGAGGAGGAAATGCCTACCCACTCCAGTATTCTTGCCTGGGAAATCCCATGGACAGAGGAACCTGATGGGATACAGTCCATTGGGTCCCAAAAGATGGAACAACTTTGCATCTAAACAACAATGACTAATTTGAATCCAATGTGACAGTGGGTCAGGATACTTCCTTTCCTAATCGAGGAAGCCTATATAAAAAAAAAACCTATAAAGTTCTAAACGAAAGATAAAGTCTTAACATCTATAACACATTCCAGCACATGAAATACATTCATATTCACAATAAACTTTTGAGCCATTATTTCATCATTTGACTTTACCTATTAAGCAGCTGAGACCCAGGAAAGTGTAGGTCTGAGGTCATACAATTAAAACACGGCAGAGAAAGGGATCAAGTTCATTTTCTCTGCTCAATACCCACATTTCCTATGCAGTTTTCTTGGTTGTAAACTGGGGCTGTTGTGAAAATCAAGGGAGGTAATATATGCAGTCTTGCTTTGTTAACCATGGGATACAACACAGCTGTGAAAACTGATGGTGACAACAATGCCCAGTAGCAGAACCTCATCTTGATAACAGAAAACTCACTCTTTTATAGCTTGTTTATAACCTTGGCTTACCTAGGTTAATTTCCATAATGACTATTTTGAGTATACTATAAAGGATGTTTACGGATGGTCTGGTCACTCAGAAGAACAATATCTATGATAACCTCTCTCAGTCTTTCTTGCTTCTATAAAAGGAGTAGAAAGAAAAAAAAAAAAAAAAAGACGTTGTCTCTTTGATCTTTGTTCTCCTGGTCAGGGGCATGTCTTTTCCTGTTAGTCCTGATCCCGGTGGGATTTTATAACTTTCTCTTCTTGGTTCTCTGCTGCCTTTGTGTGGTTATTCCCTTGGTTAGGTCTCTGCTGTGACAATGATGAGTGAATTGAGGTTATTAGCCAGCTCATTCCAGGCAGAAATAGCTCCACTACACTTGCCAGGGATAGCTATATAAGCCCTTTTAAAATCATTAGAAAACCAGAAAACCATTTCAAATTGAAGTGAAATTAGCGCCAATATACTTCAAAGCAAGTGTATTTACATGTAGGTTAATTAAAGAAATCCTTAAAGAATTCAATATTACAGATGACATACTGAAGAAAAAAGTATATTAGGGTATCTCTCTTTTTTTCCTCAATGCAAAATTGTACAATAAACACATCTTCATTTATAGAACTATCTCAAGTTGTTATGGCAACTGGAATTTGGGGTCAAGCAGAGAATGTATTGTTGCCATTGTTCTCTGAGCCAGGAGAAATGGCATTTGAACATCTGATACGGGTTTTGAACATCACTGAAAAAGGGAAAACTTACTTTTAGTGCCCTGGATTCCATTCCTAAACACTCTTTTCTCTGAAAAACTTTACATTAAATTTTCAACCTCTTCCCCAAGCTTACTCTGCAAAACCTGATCCACTATCAAATGATTTTTACTTAATTTGCTTGACTGGAAGTCATGTTTGCTATTCCCAGGAAACATTCATTTATTTACTTAGATAATCTTGGAGGGATTGAATCAAACCCTGTTTAATGATCTTGGAGGTATATCAAATAGTTTCTACATCTATAAAATGGGACTGACAAAATGTGATCCATTGGAAGATGAACTAGTAAAACACATGATGCAAGAGAAAAATTTTGGAAAATAGTGAACTACTATAAAGAAGCATTCACACGTGAAGTTTTAAAATCCTTTATTTAATCATTCAGAAAGCATTAATCCTATGTTCAATATGTGCAAAGATTAAAAAAAAAAGTGCAAAATAAAGATTCAGTCTCTGACCTTAAGAGCTCAGGGTCCAGCCACCAGAAATCAGCTGGTTATTAGAGTGCGTGAAGAGTACTGTAACAATTTACAAAGAAGACTATCTCACCTTCTGATGAAGGAGAGGCATCTGCTTCCTGTTTTGAACCTGCTCCTGCTGTCTTCGCCTTCCCTCTGGCTCTGGCTGCTCATGGCTGTGACATACAGCTTCCTGCTGCATTTGGTGCACCCCTCACAGAAAGCGTCTCTGAGCCCACAAGGTGTTTTTCCAGCTCTCTGCCCCATATGTCTCTGACACCAGAGTTGGGAACGAGGTAGAGTCCTGCTCAGCTAGACATGAACAGATAGTCAGAGTGCAGGGGCAGTTAGCACAGCCTGGGGCAGCCCCTGAAGAAAGGGAGTCCAAAGCAGACAGATGGCACTGTCCTTCCCTGTTGGACAGAGGACCTCACTCCTGCTTCTTGAGATCTATCCTCAAATAAGCTACACTGATGAGTAAACTGACTCGGGTTCTGCTTACAAAGAGAGGTAGAGGCTGCTCCTCGGAGGAGACTGGAAAGCAGATTCCCATTGTGGTTGTTCAGTTGCTCACTCATGTCCGACTCTTTGTGACCCCATGGACTGCAGCACGTCAGGCTTCCCTGTCCTTCACTGTCTACTGGAGTTTGCTCAAACTCATGTCCATGGAGCTAATGATGCTAGTCAACCATCTCATCCTCTGTCTCAGCCACCTTTATCCTATCTTCAATCTTTCCCAGCATCAGGGTCTTTTCCAATGAGTTGGCTCTTCATATCATGTGACCAAAGTAGTGGAGCTTCAGCATCAGTCCTTCTAATGAACATTCAGTGTTGATTTCTTTCAGGATTGACTGGTTTGATCTCCTTTTTGCCCAAGGGACTCTCAAGAGTCTTCTCCAACACCACAGTTGAAAGCATCAATTCTTTCTAAAGAATTCCAGTCTTCTTTACGGTCCAGCTCTCACATCCATACATAACTACTGGAAAAACCATAGCTCTGACTAGATGGAGCTTTGTTGGCAAAGTGATGTCTCTGCTTTTTAGTACACTGAAAAGTTTGTCATAAATTTTCTTCTAAGGAACAAGATTCCCAGGGGGAATGCTGCAAATCCTCCTCCATGGATCACAATAGGGATCCTATTGTTTAAACAGGAGGTCTAGAGGTAACCTCACTTGCACATATTAGCAGCACAGTTAGCAAGTCCCTCATTTGTGGCAGAATTAAGATGTGCTTCAAGCAGGAGGGAGAATTGACTTCTGTGGTAGCTCCATCCTTTGATTTCCAGCAGGCAATGATAATTCCTCGGCTTTGAGGTTGTCCACTCTGGGTGAACTGCTTCGGAAGCTTGGTAAAAAAGAAAATGACAGACTCAGACAGGGCAGGAGTCATCTTTGTGCACTTTGTAAAATCACAGGGTCTGTCAGGTACCATGTAAAGATCATTTTCATATGAAAAATTCTTCTGCAGTTACAGGATAAAACGTGATTAAATAAAACTTTCGTTTAATAATGGTGGATTTTTTTTGGGGGGGGTGGAATGATTTTTGAAAGGCTTCAGTGAACATCAGCCTGGGAATGACCCCTCCAGAGACAGTAAGTGTCCTACAGGATGGAGTATATTCAGTAAACCAACAGCTGATACAGAGAGTGCTGTGTGCCTAACAGATGGAATGGATGAATGGGGTTCCAAAAGGGCTGGGATAGTGAAAAATCTTCCTTTGCACACGTGCAGCGAGCCAGCTGGTATGTGGTAGTCTCCCCCACAACCTTAGACTGTTGGTGTAGAGTTGTTGTTCTTAGGGGCGAAGTTTCTCCAGGGAAAAAACAAACATTCCCCTCAATTTGTAGCCACCCAATAGTGGCAGATCAGTGCACGCAGCCGGTCCCCCACAGCAGACAGCCAAGAGAAGCTGGCGTTCTGGCCCAGGCTGAAGGAGATGGAAAGCGGTTTGCAGTAGGGAGATAGTAAGTTTAATTACAGGGCTTCTCAGGTGTCTCAGTGGTAAAGAATCCACACACCAATGCAGGAGATGCCGGAGACTCAGGTTCCATGATCCCTGGGTCAGAAAGATCCGCCAGAGGAGGAAATGGCAACCCACTCCAGTATTCTTGCCTGGGAAGTCCCAGAGAAAGGCGGGGTACAGTCCATGGGGGCACAGAGAGCTACTGAGCATGCGCACAAGTTTAATCATAGCCGTATCGGGGGAGACTGCCGCTTATTTCATTACCCCGCTTAGGAAGTCGGTTTTACAGATTCGCTGCTGACCTCACCTGACAACTCCGCGATACACTAGACTTAAAGTTGTGTGCACATGAGTGAGGTTGGACTCTGCTAAACACGACTTATCACCACCTCCAGCCTCATTTTGGCCTCCCTGTCACTCCTGCCACTGCTGCAGCAAATGTAAGGCTTTGAACCATGTGGCTGACACTGTTAACCCTGGATCCCATGCTCACATCCGCTGTTCACCCTCCGGGTCGTCTCTGCTGATACACTTGGCGCCCACACATACCTAGCTGAAAAGTACAGAGAAGTTAATGGCCTCACAAGCAACCCTCACCAGTGGCTCACAGGAGACAATGCATCCCTGTCCCTGTTATTTCCCGGGCAGACAGTTTGAGGAAAAGTCCCCTATGTTATTCAAAAGATACCGCTCAGAGCAAAGCCTGTCTTCTACTAGCTCTGACCATCTCTGTAGAACATTCTTACATCATCGTTTTCACCTTGTCTTGATGATTGCCCCATGAGTAAGAGTCAGTGGACTGTCACTCCCTGGGATAATCTCCCAGGTAAATTACCTGGACCGAAGTCTTTATCATAGGCTCTGCCTCAAGGGAAGCTAAAACCAAAATAATGACAGCCAATCAGTCCTGAGAAATGGAGAAGAAATGTTCAAGTTTCTGAGTGGAAAAGACGAATGGAAAAGGCAGCTGGGCGTGATGTTTATAAGCAAACATGGGGATGAGGAGGTTATCCACTATTTAAAAAAAAAGGAAAGCTCAGTAATGGAGAAACTCAAATCACACACTATTGCACCAATTCATCGTGTAGGTTTAAGGAAAGTGAAAGTGAAAGTCACTCTGTCCTGTCCAACTCTTTCTGATCCCATGGACTGTATATGGAATTCTCCAGGCCAGAATATTGGAGTGGGTAGCCTTTCCCTTCTCCAGGAGATCTTCCCACCCAGGGATTGAACCCAGGTCTCCCACATTGGGTGCAGATTCTTTACCAGCTGAGCCATAAGGGAAACCTAAGAATACTGAAGTGGGTAGCCTATCCCTCCTCCAGCAGATCTACCTGACCCAGGAATCAAACCAGGGTCTCCTGCATTGCAGGAGGACTCTTTACCAACTGAGCTATAAGGGAAACCCTGGTTTAAGGAAGGAACCACTCAAGTTATTCTCAATGTATGCATTAGGTTAGGTTTTCATTACCCCAGAAGGCACTGTGCCCGTAAGAGGATTTAGCAGACTTGAGACTGATGTCAACACATTGAATTTGTATAAGGTCTAGAGAGGTAATACAAATGGTTGTTTTCCTCCACGTGGAGATTCTAAGAAATGGAAGGTCATGTGTCATTCTGAAGTGGGCAGCAGTTATTCAACTCAAGATGATGATAAACCTGTGAGAAAATAGATAATTCAGATCTGTTAAGTTCTTATGTTATGTATATTTCTTTTAAAAATTTATGTGAAAATTCAAGGATGTTTATAGCATATGAGTATCTGTCTCTATGTTTTATCTTTTATCAAAATACAGTTTATGTATAATATTTGTTAGTCTCGGGTATACTATGTGGTTATGGCATTTGCGATCACCATGATAAATAAGTCTAGTAACAATCTGTCCTCATATAAATGTATTACAATAATATTGACCATGTTCCTTGTGCTGAATATTACATCATGCGACTTATTTATTTTATAACTGAAAGTTTGTATCTCTTAATTCCCTCCACTCATCCCCATGTCTCCTTACATTCTGAATGATAACCTTGTGGGATAAATGTTTTGTTTTGTTTTGTTTCCCTTTCTTACTTTGGGTATATCATTCCACTCCCCTCTGGTCTGAAATTTTCCTGCTGAAAAGTCAGCTTATGGTCTTCTAGGAGTTCCCTTATACATAACTAGTTGCTTTCCTCTTGCTACTTTTAAGATTCTGTCTTTGTCTTTAATTTGACCATTTAAATTATATGTGTTTTTGGTGTGTTCCCTTTGGGCTCATCTTGTTTAAGACTTTCTGTGCTTTCTGGAGCTAGATGTCTATTTCCTTCTGCAGGTTAGGGGAAGTTTTCAGCTGTTATTTCTTCAAATAAATTCTTTGCCTTCTCTCTCTGTTCTTCTTCTGGACCCATGTAATGCATTGTTAGTATTCTTGATATTGTTCCAGA